AAATTAGGTTTCTTAATTATTTTTATTATATTTTTCAATCTAGCGACAGCGTTCTGAATTTAAAAATGAGGATCAAACTCAGCATCCTAGAAACTTAAAGGGTTTATCCTGATTTCCAATTCTTGATAAAAACAGTTATATTTAAGTGTAATTTTTTATTTCTAGAACTATTAAAATAAATAATACGAAATGATTATATTTATATTTGTTTTATTCACTATGCCAATTTACGTACCTACTTTATATTGAGCAAACCTGATTCGACCTAAGAACCTTGTCTTGTAACAGACAGTTAGTTCATTTAAAGCAAAATGCATTTAATCATTAAGACAAGTTTTGCCGATACTCTACATCACGTGATCTATTATCCATCATTTATCTTCCCTTTGTAATAGTGCGGTAATATTGGAGATCTAGATCTTGACTCTTTTGAATGTCCTAAAACTCAAGAAGCCACAAATATATCTACTATTTAATCTCTAATGAAAATCAAAATTCCTGCGCTATTTAATTTACAGATTCTGTTGACTATAGGTAACAAATAAATTTATGATGCCATTATATAATTTTTGTCCAAAACACGTAGATATCGTATTTTAGTCTGTCTTCCTAAATTAATGTTATAGTTTTAGGCAATTTTAAGAGATATCTTTAATAATAAGGTGAGAAAAACGGTTTAGATCCGAAAACTGAAATATGCAATTTTTGGAAAATTTTCAACACAATATGTATTCCCACGTTCCTAAAGTGAAAACAAAGCACAGAAACATCGAAGAAGCTGAGAAATAAAGAAAAATAAGTGCATGGGCCAGGATCGAACCTGGAATATAATAATATAATATATAATTTCTTCGTTAGAAAGTCAAATATCAACTATAAAATCGATATTTCTTCTGATGTTTCCTCTATTTAAACTAATATTTCTTCCTTAGAAGAAAAGGTGTCGTCTTCTGATATGTCGTCCGTGAAAAACGAAATTTCCTCTTTAAGAGAGTAAAGTTCTTCCGACTTGGAAAACAAAATGTCTTCTATGGAAAATAAATGTTTGTCTAATATTCCTTCCGAAATATCTTCTTTAAAAAACGAAATTTCTGTTGATGTGAAAACAAGATGTCTTCTGTAGAGGAGAAAATAAAAGAGATAGAAGGACGGTGAAATAAAGTGCTATGAGGTGGAGTAGAAATTAAAATTGGAAGGAGCTGTAAACTTTGCTCGTGTTAAAAGCCCCAACCTTCGACGGAAAGATGTCATGGACCAACTACCTTAAACAGTTCGAGATAGCTGCGAGGGCAAACGAATGGTCTGAGAGAGAAAAGGCTGTAAATATGACAATCGCCCTTCGAGGAGACGCTCTCTATGTTCTTCAGACTATACCTGTGGAAGAGACAGATGATTTTGAACAACTGAAAAAGAGACTCAACATGCGATATGGCCACGAACATTTGGAGCAGGTGTACCGATTACGGTTGAAGAAACGCAAACAGAAACGTGACGAGAGCCTTCAAGAATTTGAATTAGATATTGCGAAGATGGTGCGATTTGCCTACCCGTCAGCTCCAGAATACATGATTGAATGTTTAGCCGTTCAAGCATTTGTAGATGGACTTCGTGATCATAAAATGCAAAGAACACTTCGTTTAGCCCGTCACAAAACATTGGTCGATGTCTTGTCCGCTGCTCTTGAATATGAAGCGGCTACGCTGGCTTCTGGTGGATACAGATAAGTAAAAACTGTAAAAGAAGAAGAACAGGGAAATAAAGTGGACCAATTGTTTCACATGATAAAAACACTTATTAAGAAGCAACCGAAGGCTATTAGGTACTGGAATTGCGGTGAAATGGGAAAAGTAAGCAGTTCGCGCAAACGCCTAAAGAACACTACGAATCAAAAATCGTGCCGGTGGCTGTACAGGAAGGAACGGTGTTGCCTGAAAGTAGCGAAACCACAAGAGTAAGGCGGTTGCAAGGAACTGTAGAGAAAGCAACGCCTGTCATGGCGGAACCTTCGAAGCGCAATGAAGGTGTTCGTCAAGGAACTCTGATTGGAAAGGGGTGGGCCACATCTGTTAAAGAAGTTACAGTAAGAAGAACGTCGGTTGTCAGCGATGAGTGGGCCCCTGTCAAACTTAGGGAAGAACAAGAGGTCGATCCCGTTTTAAAGAAGATAAGATAATGGAAAGAGGAAAATCGTCGACCTACTTGGCAAAAAGTATCGAAACTCTCTCCAGTAGTTAAATCATATTGGGCTCAGTAAGACTCCTTTATCCTGGAAGACGGCTTATTAAAGCGAGTACTTAAAAATGATGATGGATGGTTCCGAGAACAGAAGACAGTTGGTCATTCCAAGAAGTAGAGTAGCTGAAGTACTTCGTCAGTTACACGACAGTCCATCAGGAGGACATCTCGGTGTTAGGAAAACCCTTCAAAGAATTCGGGAAAGGTTTTTTAGATGGACAGTTCCGATGAAGTAAAGGAAGAAATGTACCAGCTGTGCTATGAGTAATGGACCTTAGCGAAAAAGGAAGGCTCCCATGAAGCAATACAACGTTGGTAGCCCATTTGAGAGGATCGCCTTAGATATTGCTGGACCATTCCCCACGACCGAGAATGGTAATAGATACATGATGGTGGTTATGGATTATTTCACGAAGTGCGTGGAAGTCTACGCCATTCCAAATCAAGAGGCTTATCGATTTGAAGTGCCCTTGGAGATACACAGTGACCAAGGCAGAAGTTTTGAAAGCCAACTCGTCCGTGGAATCTGTGATAGACTAGGCGTGAAGAAAACCAGAACCACTGTATTGCACCCACAATCAGATGGAATGGTAGGGCGAATGAATAAGACCATTGGAAAATATCTGTCAAAAGTGGTTTTAAACAATCAGCGAGATTGGGATCAGTATCTTTCGCTCTTTGCAATGGCTTATAGATCCGCTATCAATGAATCAACAGGCCAAACACCAACAAAGGTCCTGTTTGGGCGTGAGATAAGACTACCGTGCGACCTCGAGTTTATATGCCGACCTGGAGAAGATGTAGCTGCTGAAGATTATGTGATCCAGTTACGAAAAAGAATGGATGATATGCATGAATTGGTCCGCTCGCATCTGCAAATTGCCAGTGACAGAATGAAGAAGCGATACGATACCCAAGTCACAGAAGGATGTTTCAAGAAAGGCGACAAAGTCTGGATCCATAACCCAAAAAGACAAAAGGGCTATTCTCCAATGCTTGAAAGGTCTTGGGAAGGCCCGTGCCTCATCAAGAAAAAAATCAATGATGTCATTTACCGTATAAGTAAGATCCCGAACGGTAAATCAAAGGTAGTACACCAAAGCCGGATGGCGCCATTTGAGAGTGACCGTGAAGAGAAAGAAGTGAACCAACTTCAACAAACACCTGACCTTGTCTTTGAAGAATTTATGGGTGCATATGGAGGAACCGGAAAAGGACGACATGTTGTTACAACCGAGCAACAACAAGACCTGCTCACGGTTCCAAAAGACTACTCGCTGGTCCATAGCACTTCCGCCAACATCTACGACGCTCGAGGTCTGGCAACTGTATTCCGGAAGAAGTTTGGTAAATTGCCAGAACTTCAAGATGAATTACCAGCCCCTGGAAAAGCATTAAAACTTCAAGATGGTTCGCGTTATCTTTTCTATTTGTTAACAAAGAACACCTTTCGAGATCGATCCACCTATCATGATGTATGGGAAGCATTACTCAATCTGAAGGAGCATGTACTGGAGTCTAATGCACAGAAACTAGCTATGCCAAAAATAGAGAGCAATCAGCTGAATTGGAGGATCATTAGAAACATGATGGAAGTAATCATTCAAGATACCCAGGTTGAAATACTGGTCTGCAGCCATTCTCCCAGCGTTCAGGTCATAACGAAGACTGTTCCTTGTTACTTCCATGCAACTGAAAATTGTAAAAGAGGATCCAGTTGCAAATATAACCATTCAGTTTTAGTTCCAGGAGGAACTATTTCTTAAGGAAGATAAATCTCAAAAAAAGCCGACTCTGTCTAACCAAGCAGCCTTCACGTCTATGGCAACCGACTCATGCTCATGCTCAGGCTCAAAAACGGGTAGAACGGGCGGAGTGTGCCGTGGAGTCAGAGATGGAATTTTTGGGAGGGTCTAGAGACTTCTCGTAGCAGAGTTGGACTTGGTATAAATAGCCGACTCATCGTCGGACAGTTTTAGTTTAGTATTGAGTATTGGAATGAAAAGTTAAATTGTAATAAATAAATTAGAATTGTTAGTTAGTGTCTACGTATTATATAAATTAAATGGTAGGTCATAAATAAATTGAAAATAGTGTGTTTTAAATAAACTATAAATAAATAGACTATCGTCACAGTATTTTAATTTTTATTTGTATACTCTGTAATATCTCTCGACCTGTCCAATAGCCATTATGCTCCAAATTGTATTTATGGACCTATAAAGACTTCTCTCCAAACTTTACAAGAATTGTCTTATAAGTTGCAAGCACGTTGGGAAGCCATACCTCATCATTTTATAAACAATTTAATAATGAGTCTTCCAAATAGGGTACAAGCATTAAGGAACGCCAGGGGTGGACCAACGCGATATTAGTTTTTTTTACAAAGTTGTGAACTTAAAAACTAAATTGTATGATGTAACTTTTCTGGCATTTCCCAAATTGTGTAACTTCATTATTTTTTATGGCATCGCAGGTACATTTCATAAACTGTTAATAAATAAACATTTATTCCATTTAAACGACTAACATCATGAAAACATAACACATTCTAGTAATATCCAATTCAATTATTGTTGAGCAGTATATTTAGATAAATAAAAATAATCAGTGCAATGATGGCTAGCATCGCAATTTTTATTGGTTAAAATCCAAAATTTTATTTTGACAAATGACAAAACTAATAATTCATAACCAAAAATCCATAATTACATAATTACTGTAATTTACGTTATTAAGTATTATTAATAATTATTAGTACTTACAAAGTTGTGGCGAATAGGAAGTATCCGATGCGGGAGCATTAAAGGCACTCTCTGGTTTGGCAACGACAAGAACGACCCGGTCCTGCGTCGTTTTCAGCGTCGCGACGGCATCTTCGTGGGTCACGTTCTCCAGATTCACTTCTCCTTTCTGAAACAAAACGAAAACAACTTCTATAAAGCGATATCTAATCTTTAGCTCGTTTACTCGTTTAAGTTACTAGCTCGATTTAATTTTAACAGCGTTATTAATACTGTTGATGAGCGTTTAAAGATTAAATCGTTATAAAATGAACGTAAACATTTTAAAAAGGTTCTTTTTTGGACGGTGTTCCGGAAATGTTGTAGGTTAATATTTTTGATATTATATTTGGGAAAATGTATATTTTCTTTGTTGATATTATCGCTGATACATATGTATTCCAAGAGTTTTGAGAGGGCATAACATTATATTTTTCTCTACGTTTTCAGAATTGTTTTCCAGAGTTATTGGTTTCATTTGTTCTAGAATATAGAATATTTGTAAGCACAGAAAAATATACGTTAAAAACAAATATTGGATAGCCGATAAGAGAGCTAACGCTTGTTTCGACAGGTAAACAAAAATAAATACTTAAAATTGGAAATATTGGTAGAAACTACATAGGGTGTTCCAAACAAATTTGACCAGGCTATATTTTTTTCTAAAATCTAATAAAGCGTTAGGAATATTCGAACAGAACAAAATGATATTGATTAAATGTCAAGATCATAAAAATATCATCCCCAAATTAAATACCCTTAGTAACAGTGGCGGCTGGTAAGGGAGGGCGCCTCCCTGCGAAGTAGCAAGAATCATCTGCAAATAACTATTTCCATATAATCAGTAATTTTATTTAGTTTTTTCTAAATTTATTAACAATAAAAGAGTCAAACACAATTAAATGCAATAATAAAGATTGTGAACGGACAATTTAATTAGCTACGGACGAGCCGGACCAGTACAATACGAAGAGGAATAATACGGGTTTTCTCTATCATATAATAAATGCGCGCTATAATAATTGTATCGGCGTAGTACCAGCAGCCCATAGCGAATCGCTGGACGATTGCCATGGTTACCGACGGCAACGTGTAGATCGCGGAGTAGTGGGAACAAATTATGCATTTTGGATGCATGCGTTAAGAACACAGCTCAGACAGCCCATCTGGCGATCGCTTTGTGGTTTGTTTTGCTATGTTGTTCTAGAGTGGTGTTGTTTATTTAAATATCTTCGCAATAATTATTTATCATGAAAGTAACGGAATTAAAAAGCCTCGTATTCAGCCGCTTAAGTTTAAATGATTTTTGATATTGATTTTTTGGTACTTTTATACTCAGCCCTCCCTATTATACAAATCACAAGTCGCCACAAGCTTAATAACCATCCTCAACTTTAAAAATCAAAACAGAACGCTTATGAGTAGCGTTTATATATAATCAATGCATGTTTGTCAGGTCAAATTGAAATTATTATTAAAATTTAAATAATTAGACATTTTTCTAATAATTATGAAGGCTTTAAAACAATCTCAATTCTAATGTTAAAATTTTTAAAACGAATTTAAATTTTTGTTGCATATAGGATGGTTTTTAAAGCCTTCATAAAATTTTTTGGAACTAATGTGTTGCAGATTGGCCGAAAGACAGGCTCCTGTCGGTGTTTCCACTCCAATAAACAAACTAGGACCGCCATTCGGACTTTGGCAAATTGTGAACTGTATTAAAAATTGTTGGAAAATACCTGTACAATCCATCGGGCTGGAAGGATAACTACTTGGATGAAAACATCACCATCTAATTGCACACTTTATTTTAAAACACTACTGAAACGATGTTAATTTTATTACATGGTGCACTTACAAACTACATACTTTTTACACTGGTACAGACCTTTCTTAGGAAATTTGTTACTTAAGCCATTATTCTTATAGTTTTAAAAATTTATATCATGATGGCTGCCAAAAGCGTTGACTGCTTTTACACCGCAAAACGATGTTTTTTGTGACTGTTTTTTATGATCTGGGAGCTAGTGAGAATGACGCTCGACGTTGACCAATTAGGAAGTGCATGACGCCGATGTCTCTAACCAATGAAGGTGATTGCAGGGTATGGATGACCATCCAATAGAAGTGGACAAGAAGTGAATGACGCCTGTGACGTAGCTATTAGACTGGAAGCAGACCGTCCTTATCGGCAGGCAGTGCGGCAAAGACGTTTCCAGGAATAATAAAAGAATTGAGAATGAAAGCTTAGTGCATATTTGATGCAATGTTGAATATAATTCAACATAATGTAAATCTCATTTTTGTCCTTTCTAGAATAACTCTAGAAGTTATGATCAGGTTAAATTTGCCTGAAACAATCTGTATATTTCTAGTTTTATTTTTTTTATTGTTGTGTGAAGTATAGTTTAATACATCATTTTGTCACTACAAATGTATTGTGCTGAACACTGTCTATTGCAGGTGTGTCAGTGAAATCATGAGTCAGCCTTTTGATAAAACCCAACATTTTAATGGAGATGTGTTGATTAAAGCTACCATTTGAGAACGATAGACCGAGGCAGACGGCCGACGACAACAGCAAAGCAGCAAGGCAGCAAAAATTGCCGTACAAAAAGTGCTGTCGTCTATCGCGCCTTTCCAAATGTGTTTCATATAAAAACATGTGTTCAGACATGAAAAGACCGTTTTCGGATTTGCTGCTTGCTGCCCGTCGCTTGATCTCGGTTTCGCCTTCCCAAATGGTACCTAGCTTAAAATGGGATCTAGAATAATTTCAAAATCTATAATTTAAATAACAGAGTCTAAGATATGCCCATTTAAGATTTAAGTTATAGTCAAATGTAGTTGGTGGTAGGTAAAAACGATTAAACACATGATATGGCATTTATTGGCATTAAATTCTTCTCCATTCAAATATAATCATTTTGATAGATTATCGAAGTCAGACTAAATTCTAATGACGCCATCATGGTTTTGAACAATTTGGAAAAGTGACGAAGTCACTAAATTTTATTTTTAATTCATCTTAAAAATGTATATTTCAATTAATTCCCGCCTGAGAACATGTAGAAGTTCCCCCGTATTTCTGTTTCCCAGGAATTACCGTTTTTCAACAATTGCGAATACCCTCGTAGATTAAAATATTCATATATTTGCCGAAATCCGAATGGGCATTTTTAGAGTCGATTTGGTACCGATTATCTACCTTTATTTGTCAAGGCACAAGAAGGACATTTTTTATATTTCTAAATTGAAAACAGTCAGTTGTAGTGGTGGTATTCCCCACTCGAGCTCACTGGTCTTCCATCTTGCTTTACCGAAAAAGCATAAATTAAATGAGATCTGGGAATTACGCTCTCTTCTCGCTTGACAGCCGCCGTAAGCTCTTCTCTCGTGATTGCCGACAGCCTAAAACTATTCACTCTTAGTTAGTACCTAGTGCCGTGAGTACCGTGATTTAGTTCATCGATCAACCCCGTTTATTTTTCTAAAGGTAGGAAACGGCTTATTTTTTTTACAATTAGTTTGGGACACCCGTCCGACAAGTGAAATAATTTTGATTCATGCCCAGCATTTTTCATTTCGTCTCTTAGTGGGGAACCGTTGGCAATTTTTTATTTGAGGTTGGACCTAGACTAGACACCGATTGTTCTCTTTGTCAGCTACTATATCCAATTTCTTTTAAAACCGCCCCGTTAACATCGAAGTGAGAGATTCGACCTGTTTTCGATTTTTTTTTTTTTTTTCGGAGGTTCGATCCCTTTCTCGGACTAGAGTGATCTCTCTCCTGATGACGTATCTAATTTCCCCAAAAGACGTTTTAAGTAATTTTCGCGCCTCACTTCGTGTAAAATTTCTTTTCTTTTATTTATTCATTCAATTGTATTTGAATCATTCCGTTCTCCGTCCACAACTAATTATTGAACGAAGCCGACGACTTCTGTAAAATTAAATTCACACACACGCTCTCGATAGACGCTGGGCAAAATTCATAAATATTGTTTTCTACGATCGTTGTGGTCGCCGTTCAAAACACGCGTGAATAATCATATTTATCAGTAGGCGAAAATTTTCGTTTCCCATCCATTGGTTATTAAGATACAAGGGGACTCCGACAATTTTGATTTCATTTATTTGCTTGCATTTAATTACCGTCATATTTAAATTGTTTTCAAGTGTATTAATTTATTTTCATACATTTTCCGTATACTGGGCGTTTCATACTTCCCAGTCCGATTGGCCTCCTGTGATAATAAACCATAAGTATTTCTCTGTTTAAAATAATTTTCAATAATAATAATTTATTTTTCATAAACATTTCCCTACGTTAAAATAATTTATTTTTCATACAATTTTCCGAATATAGGGATCCGTCAATATGTTCAATTTTAATAATTTATTTTTAAAGAATAGATTTTCCGAATGCAGGGAGCCGTTCACATACAGGGTGATTCATAATTATTGGGACATAGGCTAAGGGCAGGTTATTTGGACCAAAATATGCCGATTGGATAATGTCACTGTTTATTTATGAATTGTTATCAAAATCGGCACAAAGGCATATCTTTGAAAAAGGAATATAATTTTATGTAATATTTCACATTTTGTTACAGGGGGCGCCACGTGAATGATTCCTGATGATGAAATTAGGTGGTAACTTTTTTTGGCGAAACTTTTTAGTGCTTTTGATTAGAAAATATTACCTAAAAATTATTTCTACGTAATATTGGTACTCTTGTTTAAACACGATAATTTCACCTGTTTTCGAGAAAAACGTAATTGAACAGTTCAGTGTCTCAGAAGGGGATTCCAAATAACACAATAAGAAAACTTGTAACGTAAGGCTTCTATTTCAACGGTAAAGCAAAATTAAAAACAATTTAACATAAAAAAAGCAAACTTAAATTAAATGTTCAATGTGACCTCCTCCGACTTCTATGCCTTTTCTAATTCTTTTAATAAAGGACTTTCGGATGGCAAAGAAAATATTATTCTGTCCCCTTATAAAATTACCCACATTTTGTATGTTCCTCCAGAGTTCGTCTGGTGAATTAATTTCCTGGGTATAAACTAAGGACTTCATATGTCCCCATACATAAAAAATCAAGAGGGTTATAGTCAGAA